TGATTCAGAATATAAAGACACCATGTCCCCCAAGTTTCAACATACTTTTGATGTCTGTTCAACCCTGGGACATGTGGTGTCTTTACAGGGTGGAGAGGGATTAGAACACCTGTTGTGTTTTTATTGCTGTCTGTGTCTTAGTTTAGAGATTCAACTTATTTGTCCTACCAAATTTTGACAGGAAGAGAAATAGAGGGAAATCTAACTCTTTCGATGGGGAGACTAGTTCTGGTGATACCAGTGACATCAGGGATTTCCTCTCACTTCCTGTTGTGACTATAAAGGGAAATCTCCAATGGAACACATATTGCAAAAAAACAAACAAACTGGGGTGACAGCTTAGAAGCCGCTGTTACTCTATCCAAAATGAAAAATATTTTTGGCTTTAGTTCCGTTTTAAAGTTTACACCCTCCCCTCCCCATTCTATTACATAAAATTATATGTTAAAGCAGAACTCCAAACAAAATTGGAAAACACAGAGAAAATACATGTACTATACAAATATACATACAGTACATGTATGTATGTATGCATACAAATGGGATCTACTTTACTTGCCAAAGGATTAGCAGAGATGTACACAGCTCTGCCACACAGCACAGCCAGATGGATGACACCACTCTGTTACAATTAAGGAATACCACCCTACCCTCAGCCTGCTGCCTGGACAGTGAAGAACCAGCAGGAGACTGGTAAGGATATCTCTCTGCTCAATCTGCTCTCTCTCACATCAGCTTGTTCCTTGTTAGAATATTCACATGCAGCTCAACTGATTGTTTCCCAGTGCTGCTCCTGTCTTTTTCTTCCTGTGTTTTGCTATACAGGGTATTACAGAAGACCAATACAAAAATCAAACCTAGATAAAATACACTAACTGCATTTAAAAAAATGCATTAAATTATTAATGACTACAGACCTGCATTCAACTTGGTTCTTTTGCATCTTCCTGAAGTTCAACTTTAAATGAAGAAAGCTGCCACTTTTTATAAGGGATCCGGGGCACACACATGTGCTAGCAATATTTGTACTTGCAATATTGTGTTTGAAATCAAGAGAGGTCAAGACAACTGGTGTAGTTTTCCCCTAAAGACAGAGGCACGGCTGCAGTCACTGTTAATAAGTCGGCAGCAGCCTGGGGCAAAGGACAGCATATGCTTCCAGTTTCAGGCAAATGCAGTGAGCGGAGACTTTCCCATGAGCATCACCGCTGTCAGCCTGACACTAAAAGGGAAATTCACTAAGCAGTAGCAGCCACTACTGTACAGCTATTATTCATATTGCCTGCAACTGATCCTAGAATAGCGCACAAATTATAAACAGATTTAATGGTTGTTTTATGCATGCTTTCCGATTTTAGTACAGGAAGAAAAAAAACACAAATAAATGCATTCATAAAAATTAGCAGGACCACCCTGTCCACATTCCATGATCTTTGGTAAATGATCTATGCATCTCTTTTGATCGGAATCTCTTTGTTGGCTCTTTTTGTAATGTCATTTGTTAAAATTTTTGAAAAAAAAAGAAAAAAAAAATTAGCAGGACCAAAAAACCCTTAATTCAGATTAACATGGACTTCAATTACTCTCCCAAATCTGAGTAATTACCAAATACCAATAACTTAAGGGATACAGAAAGTTTGAACAGGCTACCAATAGATACGATTCTGAACAAATAATATTAATCCTTGCAGTAGGGGTACCCCCACACTGCAAGGGAAAAGTGCTCCATTATGCCTAGGGTCAAAAAAAGTTATATTCACACGATCCTCGGAACTGGCAGCACTCTCTCCACTCTGTCTCTCCGCTGAAGCGATGGTATGTCTCTTGGCATCCTCACGTCCAATACACAGTGTATTGGTCGTATGGCTCAGGGACCTTAGACCGCTGCAGCTGAGAGAAGCTCCAGGGACTGGTCTAATAATTGTTTTTTTTATTTTACCCTTGGTAAAAACAAGCAAGTTAATCATTGCAGGTCAGGGGTAGCCTCACTGCAAGGGTAAATAAAAGGTGTGCCCGGAGCTCTTCTATAATTGCAACATTAAACCTCCGCCGAGATAAATATAGAGCCTGCAATCCTTCTAAAAAATGCTGGTTGACTAGAATTATGCCGCAGAGAGAACCGCTACTATCTGAGTCCTGAATGCCTAACATCAGCCCTGCTGGGTTACAGAACACCTTCCTTTATGTTAGAGATAAGAAGAGATGGGGTAAGCTGTAGTCTAACAGAGGAAAACTGGCTAGGGCTGAGATGTCAGTGTAGCAGATGCTCTGTGTTGTCGGTCTAAACAGGAAGTTAGAAGCACACTGCCTCCTGGCAGATTAACAGATATCTTTCTGCACTTTGGGTAAATGTGCATGTATTGCAGAGATTTACTGAATTGATTTTTTCTATTTAGCCCATGCATGCACATTGTTAACTGCGGTTTGAAATTCTGCCAAACAGCATACATTTTGCTTGGACCTATAACACCCCCATTATTTCTGTTTTAACAGCACATAGCCAAAAGCACTAAAGTCACCGGTCACTAAGCTACAAATTAACCTGGTCATTAGGGAGTCAAGTAGCGCTTGGGTGACAGTTCTGTGTTATGCATGCTAATCTAGGAGGAGCTTAGTGGCAAGTAATTGCTTCACAAATACATAAGTTCAACCGGCAAGCCACTGGGAGTGACTTTAATACAAAAGGATGAACTCCCTCAACACTGCTCACCAATTATCTTTTGTATTATTTGTGAGTCACTTTGCGGTATTGTTGACGTCTTTACAAAAGAAACCAGGAGACTTATCTCCTCAGTTTTCAGTTCACTGCTGCCAGGCGACTCTGGAAGTCCAAACTGAATACAATGACAAAATGGAGGATGTAAAACGTAAAAGAAGTGTGTCAAGTTCACATCTAAAGGTGCCCATACACTGCTCGATTCTCGTACGAGAATCCCGGGAAATCCCGCGATCGTACGAGAATAGAGCAGTGTGAACGGAGACGTGCGACCGTTTCTACTGTACGGTCGCACGTCTTCCGTCGAACCAGCATGTTCGAAAACCAGCCGGGAATCGTACGATTCTCGGCTGGTTAGAACGGTGCTCGGAAGAGAAATGCACACTGCCCGTTCAGCATTGCGGTCATCGGAAGCCCGCCCCTCAGGGGGGCGGGCTTGCGATGATCGAGAGTGCGATCTGCCTGTCCAAGATAGGCAGATCGTACGTTTTTTTAATCCCTGTACAACCATCGCAAGACTAAGGTCTTGCGATGGTTGTAGAGTGTATGGCCACCTTAAGTCATTGTGGATGTCATTTTAGTTGTCTGTCTTGAAAACGTTTTTTTTTTTAATCACTTAAATTACTAACACCTACACGTAGTCAATGCACAGGACTGGGGCTGTTTTATAGGTTCAGTCCACCTGAAAGAATTTCTCTATTAGGTGGCCGCTGGTGGGTTTAAAGGAGAACTCCAGGAAAATATTATTAACCCTTGCGGTGGGGCTACCCCCGCACTGCAAGGGTTAAGTGCCCGTTTTGGTCTAGGGAGGAAAATAACAAAGTTATACTCATCTGATCTTCGAAGCCAGCCTGCTCTTTAACTGGTCCCTGGAACCTCTCTCCCCCTACTTTGCAGTGGTCTAAGGTCCCTTAAATCATGTCAGGTGGCGCGGGACATTCCATTGCTGCGGCATAGGAGGCTACAGATAGCCGGCTCCAAGGATCTGGTGAGTATATCTTTGTTATTTTCCCCCGCACACCAAAATGAGCACTTAACCCTTGCAGTGCGGCAGTACTCCCACTGCAAGGGTTAATCATAATTTCCCCTGGAATCCTGTGTTAACATCTACTGGCATTATATTTCTTGTGGGCACAAATTGGA